AATTCTGGTGTTTATTGTTCACAAATAAAATAATTAAAGATTTTCGCTTTTTTTCCCCATCACTTTTTTAAAAATGTTCAGAGCTACTAATAACTTGCAGTGTGTACCAGTAATGATTATTATTTTACAAGACTGAATATTTCAATTAAGCCCTTAACATCCTTTTTTGTGTGTCTCAGTCTGTTTCTTATTTTATTTGTTTCTTGTGATTTCCTAATAAAAAATGCTCTCATCGGGAGCCATTGATTTGTATTACCAAAAAACAATAAACGTCTGTGCCTTTCATCTTAACCATACTTACTGTGGGATTGATGAAGGGAGAAAAAATAAAAATTGGTCAATAACAAATGAGAACTTCAGACTAGAGAATCATGAGCGGAGGCTGGTTAGCTCAAATATTTAGCTAATCAAATTTTTAGTCAACACACAAATCCTAGATGCTTTTTTGTTTATCAAGTATTATCTACAGTCAGCCAGAATGTCTAGACTTCCGGTCTTATAGAAAGACTGACTGCTGGCAAAACAGAAAATACCACAAGAGAAAGAAAAGATAAACGGATGTTAGGGAGTCGTGTTGGCTTGATTACATCAGTTGACCATTTGCATTCATCAGATACCGAGGCATTCAGTGAAAATGCTCTAGACAGGCACTGAAACACGATGGCTCTTGAAAGATTAGAACAAGCCATCGCTTGTTTGACAGCAATAGAAAATGCATGATGTGAATGTGTGCTGATATTTTTATTCATCTCTTGCTAACATTAACCCATTGCTCTCTGTCTTTCACATTAATTTTCAGCTGCGCTTTGCTTATTAATTATGATCATCAGTAAACAAGGCAAATAATAATTTTATATTAAGTAGTTCTCACGCAGTAGACTGACTTCCTCCTCAGAACATGCTACGCTGTAAAAGTGCCACTGCAGTTTGAAACGACCTATTTTAGTGAAGATGTTGCTGCAGTGTCTAAAACAAACACTAAATCCTCTGGGGAAAAACATTTCTAGCTTGTACTTTGAACACCTACGGAAGCGCATTGCTATCACGCAGGAAAAAAAAATTTCGAGCGCTATCTCGTTAAAACGTGATACGTATCTCGTTAAAACGTGATACGTATCACGTTTTAACGAGATACGTATCACGTTTTAACGAGATAGCGCTCGAAATTTTTTTTTCCTGCGTGATAGCAATGCGCTTCCGTAATAACGTGATAGCGCTCGAAATTTTTTTTTCCTGCGTGATAGCAATGCGCTTCCGTACCAAACAGATTGAAGAACATAAAAGCTAATTTAAATCAAAGTCTCGGGTTCATTGTAAAGGTCAGACATACGTGAGCCTCAGAGACTGTGGACTTTATCATTTTATGAGTTGACTAAGAGCATTTGCTTCCACATCCTACTTGGTGTATATTTTGTCTCAAATTCATAGCCGAAGAAAAGGTTTCCCTGCAGTAAATGTCCTCCTCTTCCTTCTTGTCTTCCGTCTCCTGCAGAGTGGACAAAGGGAAATCAGCTGTTTGAGAAGACACTTGGATGCTGCCTCGTTTCTCCCTGTGTTTTGCTGTACTGTCTGCCACAGCATGTCAGAGTATGAAAGCTTGCAGCATGATTAGTGCGGCACATAGTTGTTGCCGTGCAACTGTTGGCGAATCGGAGGAGATGGTGCCATAAAGCCAACGTGGCGAGATCACGTCGTCTTTGTGGAGAGTTTCTGGTTAAAGGGTACATGGATGGCGGAGACTGTCACTGTGCTGAAAGGGAGGAAAGCTTTGTCCCATTTTTACATCACTTAACTAAGTTCACCATCTCTTCCTCTGTGTTTATTTAAATATAATTATTAACACATTTGCAGCTATTCTTCACTGTATACTAAAAGGTAGTTATACTATTGTGTATTTCCTGAAGTCACAGTTGCGATTTGAACTCGACGTTGGCAGAAAGCCTCTGCTCTCCCTCTGCCACCAGGGTACTGTGCTGTGTTAGATCTCTAAGAAGTCTCTGTTTAACTATTCAGCAGAGACTATTTGTTTTATCTGTTTAGACTATAGTCTCAGTCGATAAGCTTTTGAAAATACAATAAATTGGCCTTAAATATTAGGACTGTTTTAAGAGCAGCGTGGCCTTCACATGCATGATGCTGAAAGGCGAAGGTGGTTGACCCCATAAAAGTTGAGTAAGAAGTTGTGATTTTTTTTTTCTGTGTGCCGACATGTAAGTCAACACTCGATTTGTTTATTAATAAAACGAGCTGTTCTTTCCTCCAGCTCCACTGTGTCACTGTGAAAACATCCATACGGTCAGCAGAATTTAATCTCTGTCGTGAAATGAAAAGGTTATCAGAGAAAAACAATTGGAGTGGAGTTTTTCCCATGTTCCAAGTGTGTCCCATGTTTTCTATCAGTTGTTTGTAACGATCACTTATTATTGGTGAAAGCAAAGGGAACATGGCTTTACGACTGGCTTCATTATGATGATTGGGAGGTGCAATCAAAGTTCAACCTTTGTGTAAAATGAACCACCGGGTGACAAACTTAAGTACTTTATGTTCCTTCGTGCAAAGATAATAGCCACGGTGGAGACTCGGTTTAATGTATGCTTTTACTCATAAATGTTAATATGTAACTGGCATATGTGGTGGGAAAATAATTTAGTTAACATCTGCTGATCATTTCATATTAAATGCTTGTGAATTCTCACCAAAAGAACCGCTTTGGGCTACACAAAGGTTGGAAGGTGTTTTCCTACAGCTGCATGGGAAGCAGACAGTTTCCCGTGTTTTGGATCCCTCGTCCCTGGTGTAAAACTCATGTGTTGACTCTGCCTGACAGAGCTTTGCATTTGGAACATCTTCATTCTCTGTACATTACAACATACAAATAAACCTGACAGTGATTGGAAATTAATTTTTTTTTCCACAGCACATAATATTTATTTGTTGTAGAGATCAGAAAATTGTGCACTTCATTAAATACGTTTTCCTCCTGACCAGTAGCTTGTTGTGTTTTATTTGTTTCCGATACTTTCCAGAAGTATTTATATTAACACACAGTGACAAAAAGCCAGATGTTTCTATTTTGTCATTGAGATGATGCATCTTTTTCTCAATCTTCTACTGGGTAATTTTCCTTTTTTGTTTCTTCAGTATTGGGGGGAGAAAGAAATGTTACAGTTGACATTTTGTCAGAGAGCATGATGCTCTTTTACTCTTTGCTAGTGGTTGGGTGAAATGATTTATTGCCAAGCAATTTGTACTTGTTCTTTCCATATCATAATGACTAGAAAAACTACTCTACTTAAATGGCTCCGACCAAAAGTTTTTTTTTTTTGCTTCTGAACATCAATGACTCGGCCACAGGATCTTCTCTATCCCTGCTGTAGCCCATGACAGGTTAAAAAGTTGTTTTGTTTTTTTTTAGTGATTTTTTTTTAATTTTATTATATTTGGTCAAACTAAGCATACAATATTGTAGTAAAAGACAAAATTTATTCTGTTGTTTATTGAAAAGGGATTTATAAATTGTTGTACATCCAAAACATACAAGTTTTTTAACATGTTCAACTTGTTAAAAAGGAAAATAAATGTTCTGGCTTTTAAGGGTCAGTTGTTTTTCTATTTCTTGGAAAAGAAAATGGTTGCATATTCTCAGCAACAAGAACAGAATAGTCACCTTTTCTTCAAAAATGTTTGCTTTATTTAGCCAAGTTTAAGGAATAGTGATGCTCAAAACAGTTTTTTAAGAGAAAGTCACTGGATGTTTGTGGTCATGTTTCCTACAAAGCAAAAACTAAAGAAAAAAAAACGTGCCGAAAAGTCAAACCTAGTGTGCTGTGTGTAATATTTTCCATGAAGATTTCAATTCCTACAAAAGTTATTTTATCTGCCTGTTGGGAAACATTTTCTTCATTCGGGAAAACCCTGTAGTCTTAAACTAAAATGTCTTTAAATGGGCATTTTCAATGTTTTATTTATCTAGAAATGACAGAAAAATTACAAAACTGTACACATAAAACTTCAAAGGTCATGAAAATTTAAACAGTCCTGAAAACATCTTCAAAGATTTGTTCAATAGTGATACTAAATTAATCAAAACAGCAGCATTCAGATCTAAAATGTTCAAAGTCGCTTAATGAGATCAGTTACTTTTAATTTTACTTGGGGCCATTCTATACATAACTAGCAGAATGCAATGATGAATGTTTCCCCAATTTAGTCAAACTCCTAGTCATCATCAACAGATTTTTGGGGGAAACAGTAAGTTCATGCCCTGCTTTGAATAATGTAGGATGTAAAGAAATGAAGCAAGGTTGTTAAAAACAGCTTCATAAATGAAGATATGCTTAGACTTTTGCACTGGCAAAGTACAAAAGTCACATTCAGGAAATGCTGGGCTGATGAAGCACACGATAAGATGTGTTTCCAACAGAGTTCATATTATCAAAACAAAAATTAAAATTTGTTGTTTGATACTCCTCAATCAAGATAATTAACATACCAAAATAAAATTAGTGTTCTGTCAAAACTTTGTTTTATTTCAATCAATCAATTTTAGCTATAAAGCACCCTTCATGTTGGAAACATGAAGGAGACTCTGAACTCGGTTTGAACCATCCAGGGTGCAAATACCAGAGTTGGGAAGTAAACTGAAGCTGGTGGGATACTCCCTTTTCTTCCCGTCTTTGTAAGAGGGTAGTAAAAGATCTGAAAGTGGTGTACTTTTATCTTTTCTTCACTTCCCTTCCCTGGAAAACTAAAATAGAAGATTTTTCACAGTGGCCCTGTCCCGGCAGTAGGATGGGGTGACCTGAAATACTCTCGACTGCTTTCTATAAACACATTTTTAAACAATTCAAAAGCCTTTTCTGACAAGACAAAGATTCACCTGCAGGCCTTTCTTCAGCTAAAATAAGCAACATGCAAAAAGAGTTGAGTTACTCAGTGTATATCCAGTGAAAGATGTTCCGACCCGACCCAACAGCATTCAAAGACGCTATATTCTTCACCAGAAATATGCTTTGTTCAATATTCAGATATTTATTTAGAATATTTAAGAGGGATGCAACATTTAGAAGGCATGGCTGGCATACAATCAGCGCCACCAGGCCCTTAGTCAGACCACCAGCAGCAGGTAAGGCAGAAGAAGAACATGACTGAAAGACACAGAGCTGGGGTTCAAACCAGCAACCCACTGGTTACAGGATGAATTTCTACCTCTGAGCCATAGTGGCCCCAAAATATGAATACTTCCCCTCCCTGTTGCAGCTAAAAATTTAAGATATGTTCCAGGTTGTATTAGATCATCTTGTCTTAAGTCATCTATTAAGACCAGAAAAATTTTTATCTTTCTGATTCAGCCAGAGCTTTCTGTCTGAGATGTTTCTCCAAGCAGAAGACAGGAATGGGATCTGTGCACACATCAAATTTGTTGGCAAATAGGTGGTGGTTCTCCAGCAGCCATTGTACGTCCCCAGCTCCGTATACACAAATTGACCGTACGTGGCTGCCCTGACACTCAGGATACACTGCTGAATCCGGTGCTCCCTCATGCCACATCCACTTCACTAGTCGTGCAATGGCATTAATGTCCGTCTGGTCGTACTTAGAGTGGGGTCTCGTCGAGCCAGGCACACCAGGGATTCGTTGAATGGTCGCCCACAGGAACTCATCAGGACTGTAGGTGTCTTTGGACCACTCGATAAGAGCTTGTACTCGGGTGTCTTTCAAAACACTCTGGATGTAGCCCCGCGTTACCACGATGTAGGCGTTTCCTGACTTAATGGGGAAATTGAAGGGAGGCGGACTCTTCGACTTTCCTGTCGACTGAAAACATAGGGTAAATAAAAATGCGTAAAATATTGGTAATTAAGACTCAACACAAGCTACAAATGCTCTCCAAATGTACCTTGATTGTCCCATTAACAATCTGGTGAACTATTGATATCCTCCACTTCTTCCCTTCAGGCATATCTTCGGACTCCATGCTGTTGCCACCCTTCAGCGAGCGAAGCATTCTTACCATTTCCAAGTTGGTTTTTAGAGGGAAGTCTTGTCCGCAGAGGTTGATGAAGTATTTCCACTCTGCACTGCGTTCATAGAGGTCAGCCATGCAGTTGAGGTCAGCTTGGACACGAGGCCACCCAGCGTAAACCACACTCACAGCCTGTCCGACCATGAAGACATTGGGGAAACAGGACACGATGCTGGTAATGGCAGCTTTTACAGAGGGCTGGGATTTTTTGTCCACATGAATACAATAAATGTTCTGAGGTGCGTAGATGGCTCGTAGCAGTCGTTCAAAGTTCTGCACCTGAAATATGACAATAAACAAAATTAAGTTCCTTTTTCTTTCTACAGGAGTGAAACATTGCTCTGTGAGGAAAATGCATGTTCGGTTTTCTAGCTGACGTTTTAAACCTTTGAAAGAGAAACATCACAAAATCTGTCAGTCACTTTTTCCAGATCAAGCAAGTGCCTGCTTACGTTTTCTTTATTTATTTTTAATATCACAATCTGTGTCTCCTCTACATTGTTGTGACTCAAATACTGTTTTATTTCATGTGATGGGGGAAAATGATGGGAAAGGGATTCTGATGAGGCTCATTTGTCAGGTCAAAAGTGCCTTTGTAAAATTATAACTTTTAAGCAGATACTAAATATACTTTTCAATAAGCTCACATTTTAGACATAAAAATATTGGTTTCTTTTGACCTGATGTAATATTTAAATGTTTTGCCTTTATTAGCAATGAGTAGAAAATCAACAAAAACATAAACCATAACTCTATAAGCTCAATCTATGTAAGGTCTATAATATAGATGTATATGTAATATGTAATTAAATGTTATGTTAGAATGCACTTACTTTGTGATGAACAACTATAGAGTAAGCCAGAGGAAAGTCTTCTTCTTCTTTGCTAAGGGCAAATGTTATGTATTTCATCTTTGACTTGAATTTCCTGTAACAGAGTTTAATGTGTCACTGAAATTATTGATTTATTAAAACAAATAGAAATCTTTGCAACAGTATCCAAAGCCCTCAAACGTTTTCACATGTTGTTGCAATGCAACCACAAACCAGCACATTGAGATTTTATGTGACAGAACAAGACAAAGTGTGCATAACTGAGAAGCAGAAAGAAATTGTTTTCTCACTAGTTTTCTAAG